AAAAAAAAACAGTTTCTTATTTAATTCTGACAATTAATAAAGAAATTTCAATTAATTAGTTTATTTTTAAAAAAATGAATTTTAAAAACGGAATTATTAGACCAGGAACACGGCACTTGACCGTGACCACTGGTCAAAGCAGTTGGAAAAGCCTGAAAGGCCTGGCATAGTTGCGTACAGCAAACAAAGGAACATCCAAGTAATATCACTGACATGGTATATCGAAAATGACTGCCTGAGTGTTGTGTTTTAGTGTTTTTTGGTAGTTTCAGTTATAAGCACTTTTTTTGCTCGTATAATTTCAGTTATTTTTAAAGCAATTTCTTTCCCGCTGCAACATCAAAGAGCATCCAGAAAAACGAATGTGCTGGAAGGGCATAAACATTTCTCCCAGTGTATTTGCTATTGAAGTGGAAGGACGGAACGGTATGCTGATTAGATAAGCGGGGCAGGATCAACATCTGACGGGAGAGGGGGAAGAAAACCGCCCGATATATAGTAGCACAGAAGATGAATCAGCCAGAGCAGCAACCCGTGTGCACCAGAAGCTTTCTTCACAAAAGAGCAGATAGATACATTGAAAAAGCAATATTCGAATGATTAAGAAGAGATCAAAGAATTATGAAATTTTCCGAAATAAAAATGTACATTTCGCTGGCAGATAGGGGGACGAGGAAAAACCAGTTCTGGATGAGGCAATTATTCAACGATTAAGTTAGACCTTAACGCAACGACGTGCTGTGCTACCCGTTGTTGCAATAACGCGGAACACTGGTTGGGTACAGTTATGTTATCATTAATGGACCCCGCCAGGCAAGTGTCAAAAAAACAGATGACTAAAAATCCGGTAAACATCACCACAGAAGAGGTGAAATTCTCAAAAAAAAAAAAAATTACTGCAAAAAAGTGCAAAATTTCTTGACCCCTGCACACTTTATCGAGAAACAAGCAAGCAGAAATACTCATGAATTTTACCGCAAAATACGTGCAGAATTCTCTATTTC